GTTATAATATTCCGGTTGACCAGAATTAACACTATTTGGGTTAAAAGACCATACCTCCTGTACCGTAATCATGTGGCTAACGTCCGGTTATATTTGGCCAAAACGTCCAGTTAAGATAACCAAACTATGCCGAGTGGACATATATATTAACCAGATTTCCTGATTATTAATTTACCAATGCCTGACTAGCATATAGGATCGCGTTAATCTAACCAGCAATTTCCGGTCAAATTAACCAGAATATAGCAAAAATTATGAATGATGAGAAAGTTTAAGCAGGAATATTAAGTTAACTCAAACAGGATCGATTATTATTTTATATGTTAACTAGGAAAGCCTTATAATAAACCAGAATGGTTTTAGGATGCACAAGTGATGAATCAACAGGTTCGGTTTTTCTTATATTTAGGCATGCATGCTGCATGAGATTAAAGGTGATTTAAAAACGTTCGAGTAAAAATTGTCGGAGTAAAACCTGCATGGGTCCAACTAAAAGAGACACAATGTATTTCGGCAAGACTATTAATATTCGGTGGCGTGGTCGTCAAAGTATAAGCGCCTTTCACCTCTGACATTGTGTGTTCGTTTCTCGCTATACAGGGTGTATAAAAAAACTGAACAGATTTGAAATTGCTCTCAATCTCGCAAAACACCGATTTGTATCCGGTTTTTTATAGATATAGCTTCTTTGGGTACTTAGAATGTAGAATAATGAAAAAAATTTCTTGAACTCAAATATTGTGAACCAGGGGGGTGTGTCTTTTCCAACAAAATAAAAATGGCTTGCGCACAAAATTTAAAAGCTGTAATCATATTTTGAGTTAATAGATGGAAAATTTGTCGGGTTTTTAATTACTGTACAAAATTTCAGACAATTTGGTTTAGGTTAAGCCGTTTAACTATTCACGCAAAGTTACATTTTTCCTAAAAATCAGCTATTTGCATGCTTAATTAATGCATTTGCCTAATTTGCATATGTTAGCAATATGCAAATTAGGTAAATGCATTAATTAAGCATGCGAAAGACTGATTTTTTAGAATAAAATGAATAGTTAAACGGCTTAAACTAAACCAAATTGTCTGAAATTTTGTACAGTAATTAAAAACCAAACAAAGTTTCCATCTATTAACTCAAAATATGATTAAAACTTTTAAATGTTGTGCGCGAGCCATTTTTATTTTGTTGGAAAAGTCACCCCCCCTGGTTCACCAAATTCGAGTTTGAGAATTTTTTTTCATTATTCTACATTCTAAGTACCCAAAGAAGCTATATATATAAAAAACAGGATACAAATAGGTGTTTTGCGAAATTGAGAGCGATTTCAAATCTGTTCAGTTTTTTTTTATACACCCTGTATAGACTCATGTGAAAAGAGTCAGTCAATGCTCTGCTGAAAGTCGTGGGTTTTCTCCGGTTTCCTCACACAGGGTAAGTTGATCGACAGGGTAGGTTAGGATAAACACATGCAGTGAAGAAGTCACACTTGTTGTAAAGATAAAATAATCTGCTAATTATATATGTAATCAAATAGGTAAGCGTGTAGTACTTAGTGTAAAGCGCATTTGATCATATATACATGTGCTATAGAAATGTTTATCAAGTTTGCTAAAGAGGGCTGACAAAAAGATTTCGGCGTTAACTCCAAAAATTCAGTTTAGATTAAGGACCGCATCCAATATAGCTACTATATACGCATGCATGGGTTGTCATCATTTTCCCAGATAGGATTAATATTCGCGTACCATTTGTACATGTTCACAGGGCCATATAGCTAGACCGACAATTGGGGGGGGGGGTGCATATTCATATATTCGTGTTCTGCCCGACGGATTTCTATTGAAAGCGATTGTTTTTACGGTTGAACATGAATATTTGAATATGCATCCCACCTCCCAAATTATCGCGTCTAGCTACGGCCCTGCATGATTACCTCTAAACACTACTATTTAAGTTCCTGGATCAAGTGGCGACCATTTCCTTTTTAAAATTGGCTTTAATCTTTGATATTTTCAATTAACCTTAATTTAATTTTAACTATATGAAACTTTTATGATCCAGCGGTGAAGCAACTGGATCAAGATCTATAGCGGCTCTACTGGAGGATTGGATATATATATTTATATATATTTGCCCGCGCGATTGTAGATTGTCATACTGTAATTTTCCAATACAGACTACCATAATTGGTCCCCCATAATTATATACTGCATGCTGAGCTTTCAATTGGTCACAGTAGCTTCCTGCAATATGTACAGTTATATAATATTATAATTTCCTTCAGTCGCACGAGGGAGCTATACGAGAGAGTGGTCTCACGTTTCAAAAGTAATACAGCTACATTCGGTCTAAACGAAGGTAGTTATGACGTTACGTACTTATGTTTTAAACTTTACGGCGATCGAAAAATACAGTACGGGGGACTAGCAAATATTTACGAGCTTGAGTTGGAATAAACATTATAACTAATTCACATTACAATTTTCACATCGCAGACAACAACAAAAATTTCGGTCGTTGCTTTTCGTTCAGTTCACGTCATTTATTTCGTATCATTTCGTGGGTGCAACCAGAACAAATTAGACAACAAAAAAACTCTCGTTCTATTCAGAAATATTTTTGAATGTATATACCACAAGAAATTTTCCTGCCCATGCATAATCCTCAATTGGCTCAGATTCGAGGCTCTCTTTATGCATAACTTACAATCAGACACCTTTCTGCGGCGGACACCTCTCTAAAACATATAGACGCGTCCAAAACATACGTTTCTATATAATACGGATATATACCTCTCCATAAGATATCTATATATATATATAAGGCTCTAATACGGACACGTCTGTAATATCGACGGTGCCTAACGAAATTTCCATATATTTGAATTCGTTCAAGTAAAAACTTCTATATGTATTTATTATACATTCACGCGCACTTAACCAAACAGTAATCGTTGAGAGGGTAACGTGCCGATCCAATATTTGACGATATTGGACAGGAACCTATATGGACAGAATAATGAAAAGAATTTGGGACATTAATACAGTTTTTTCTACCAGTTTTGTTTAAAATTATAAAAGCGCGGGAAAACTTGTCTTCGCGAAATTTATTTGTTTGCAACAGCCTAGAAGTTAGTAATATTATTTTTTCGTTGAAGTTAGGTCAAATTTCCTTTAAAAATACATGGAAATGAGCTTATTTATGCACACATATTTGTAAAAACAGGTTTATTAACTTTTTTTTTATTATTTAAGCAAAATCGCCGCCGATATATGTAGTAATGTTGTCGCTGTATTAGTCTCGCTGTATTTACTTTATCGCTTATTGACATTTTTTGTTATAGAATTGTTTTGTTCGATATAATAAAACTCCTATATTGGATCCATCTTCGCCCAATATTTGGCAAAATATTAAGTCTTGACTTCAATATTAGGCTCGACCTTCGGTCTCGTCCAATATTGAAGTCTCGATTTAATATTTTGCCATATTGGGCTCAGAAGAATCTAATAAGATATAATATACATGTGGACTGTCTCTAATATACAGGGAACGGACACTATATTTCTAGCTATTTATACATATACTTATGGTATTGTACTGAATCTATGCCGCACATCATCAGGTGAAGAGAACTTGACTATATGCATGCAACACAATCTCCTACTTGCAGTTGAACAAAGACGAACGCTTTATTTAGGCCTACAATATTTCACAAAAGTTCTGTAAATGGTCGACTGTAGCTATAGATAGAATAACAAAGTTGTTTCCGAGGTACTTTACCTACCATCTACTCGCTGAGAAAAATACAAGAATAAGAGCAAGCTTCATTTTCGTCTTCATCATCTCACAGTCAGTTGCTATGTACTGAATGACTGTAAGATTGTGAAGCCACTTTTGATATTTCCATTTTGGACACTTGGTATTTCTTCTTGACGTATTCTTGACTGAAATTGAGCTCAACCACGGACATCCGTTTCAGCAAAAAATCTGCTTATAACTGCATGATTTGAGTGCTTCAATGTCAGTGCTGTCAATGTTCTCTTAACCGGAAGTTAATGTCAAAATTTGACTATTTAAAAAATTATGATAAAACTATATCATTTATCGTTTTTTTCACAGTAATAGCAATGAACATTATACTGTACGGCAATTCATTTTATATAGTGAATCAATGACATTTTAGTGTGTGCATGGACAATTGCACGATTCATCGTTGGTGATCTGGTTTTTGTCGTGATTTCTCAGTCAAATTTAATCAATCTTATATGATTATGCACATGATATGCTTTAACCATAAACAGCATTTCTGCATGGAATACTGAGCTATTATTACGTGCTTCCTCACGCCAGGAGAAATTAAAGTGTCTTCGGTTTTCGTCGCCAAGCATTCAGGAAAACCGCGATGATATACGTTTAATTGTCACGCTATTCATTAGCTAATCTCAAGATGGAACTTGTCTCGTTAGTGCATTTTAAGAATGAATTAATCAGACGTCGCTTTCACGACGATATTTGAATATAATGTGGTCGCATTTCTGAATACTTGACGAAAAAACATGCAGTTTTTTGGGCAAGAGAAAGGAGCGGCGATATTTGCAATTAATAATAATAATAATAATAATAATAATAATAATAATAATAATGGTATTTTAATAACACATCATCGCATGAAAATGAATTACAATGTGTTTTACAATTGATTTGAATGGGAATTACAATACTAAAAGTAACTATATTACAATATATCATTAGATTATTAAATAAGAACTTATAACTAAGAACAATTATTTGCTTAAAACACTAATCGTGCTAGGGAAAAAACTATTACCAAATCTATCAGTTCTACATTTAAAAGAAGCGAATTGTTTAAAATTCCTTAAATTATACACATGTTCGTTCTCACTGGTGAGAGTTAGATGGGAAGAAAGACGACTGCCCAATGCAATATTTTTCATCGTCTTTTCGCAAAGTTCACCTCGACGTATATCCAGCCTAGGACACTGCAACATTTCTTGCGCTTCACCGTAGGATCGACCTGGCAGTATAATCCTCAGTGCACGTTTTTGAATTTTTTCGACTTGTTCGGACAGATACATAGGTAGACCACAATGCCATACTGTACAACAATATTCTAATGTAGATCTAATCAATGCATAATAAATTGTGATAAGGTCGTGCGGTGGAATCCCTCCCCGTCGTAGGACACGTAGGATATGCAGTCGCTTGGATGCTTTGGTAACAATCATCGAAATATGTTCGTTCCACTTAAGGTCATCCTGGATAATCAATCCAAGAACCTTGTGCGACGATACACATTCAAAGATCTGGTCTTCAACACACAAGTGTGGTAGTTCAGGTTTGTTCCGAAAGAAACAAATTTGCATCTCTTTGCATTTCTTTGCGTTCAATTTCATCAGGTTATTAGATGCCCATGTAGCTATAGAAGTTAAATCGGACTGGATTACAGACGGTTCCCCATTCCTTAATAATCCCTCAGATATAGTAACATCATCAACGAATTTCCAAATTCCCAGACCTCCCCGAACCGCATTGTAAATCATTGACCATAATTAAGAACAGGATCGGACCCAACTTCGTACCTTGGGGGACACCGGCTGTAACAGGAAGCCAACAAGAAACAGCTTCCGCAAGTTTGACCCGCTGTCTTCGCCCTGATAGAAAGTTTACGATCCATGGTATTAACAATCGCCTAACGCCAATATCAACAAGTTTTTGGATAAGAATGTTATGGCCAATACGATCGAAGGCCTCACATAAACAATCGTATCCTTACACTCAGCACATGTTATGGCCAATACGATCGAAGGCCTCTCATAAACAATCGTATCCTTACACTCAGCACATGAGGCAATGACATTTTTTCAACATCGTGTTTTGTTAGATCTGTTTTGTATTACTAAACGCTTTAGATAAATTAAATTATTACTATTATTATTATATTACTAAACGCTTTCACATCTCTTGAACTTTTCTCGAAGTGCCGCCAACGGAAACGATTCCTCGCGGGAAAGTTTGAACGCGCGCGTGCTGTGCCATCACGCGTATAATCCAAACATAAGTCCAACGTCATCATACGGAAGATTCAATCACAGAGTAGTGACATACAGAGATGCAACTAGCTTACCCACTTTATTGTGCGCATGCTCGGCAAGTTACTAGATGCATGCATCTGATTGGATGACGACCTGATGACGACTCACTTTAAACTTGCTGAGCACGCGCAGTGGATCATTCTTCGCCCGGTCGCCTGAAAAAAAATTGGCAACATGATAACGTAATCTCCCGCAGTGTCTACGACGGTCAGTTACGTCTCTGTATGTCTCTACTCTGTGATTCAACCGTCACTTGTAACACCGTCACCTGATGATCGCACTCATCGTGAAACTCAGAGTTGTGATACTATTTGCTCTTTTAAATACATGATGTTGAGCAATCTTTTTACACTATATAATTTAAAGAATATTATTATATATATACGACGAGAGCGAATGGTGTAATTGTTTTACAATAGTCTAATAGCCATTATTATACATTTAATATGTATTCTCGTTTCTAATTGGTCAGAAAGCACCGGCTAATTTTCAGTATTTGGCATTTATTACGTATTTTCCGCCGATGACGTCATCAGCGTCCAATAATTGTTTTTTTGGATCGAACTTGCATCCAAAAAAAAAATTATTGGACTCTCTCGTGCCCAAACCCTTGCGCGGCCAAAAGCTTGAACCTATAAGCGCGCGAAAAAAACAAAAAACAATGGCCTACAGCAGATTTGCTTCGCTGAATGAAAGTGAACTCTCCAAATTATTGGCAGATAAGGATAGTGAAAGCACGAAAAAGCCACAAAGGGGTAAATAGAAGTAGAAATAGAATATTTAGCTGACCTTTGACTTTGTGCAAGGTGTTTGATACTCAAATTGTACTTTTCCTACCTCATGAACAGGAATTGTTTTATACCTTTCTCATGTCTTTAAATGTATAATAAAACAATTATTGGATTCGGCTTTCGCATGATATCAAGAATTATTCTGACCTCGGTATATGTTTTCCGCCTCAGCTTCGCTTCGGCAGATAACATTGACCTCGGTCTGAATAATTCTTGATATCATGCTCAGCCTCATCCAATAATTGCTTATTAACTGAAGTTTATAATAATTAATTATCTTCTGTCACAATGTCTTGACAATTTGTTCGGCCAAAAATCGCTTGGCCTTGAAAATTTGAAATACTTTTGTTTTGCAACTCGAAGACGAATTGAAAGAAATGGTTTTAGAACCGGTATATCTCACAGAAAAGCTCAGATAATACAGGGGCCAGTTGTTCAAAGCTAGATTAGCTTAACCCTAGGTTAACCTAAAATTCAAAGCACACTTCCTGACAGCATGTCTATAAATTAGGAAATATTTCTTCAGAGATCTTGTCTGGATCGATGGGAGTTTACTTCTCTGAAGTTTTGAAATAAACAGGCGTGCAGAAATACACAAACTAAAACAACAGGTTACATTTTAACCCAGGGTTAGCACTAACCAACCTTCGAACAACCGGCCCCAGATGTTTGGTAGTATAGTATGTGCTTGTTGATTGCAAATTCATTTGTCTTTCGTTGCAAACTTTTCTGAACAATTTATATTCTCAATGAACATGTTTTTTTCGCTGTTGTTTCGGTATTAATTCTTTAAACAACTTCTTTTTAAACTAATTTCTATGTAATAATGTATTTTGCTAACCTGTCAAATTTTTCTGAGAGTTTTTTCTTGTACTATTATCTTTCTCAAAGCGAATATATTCCTTTTTTCTGCTTCGTAAAACTCATGTAGTTTTTGGACCGCCATCTTGTTTTTCGCTACTCGCCGTATATGAGCTGATATATGGCGAGTAATTCAACCAATCAGATTGCAAAGCAGCTCATATACGGTGAATGACTATATTATAAAAAAATATGTATATATATATATATATATATATATATATATATATATATATATATATATATATATATATATATATATATATATATATATATATATACATATATATATATAGTACGCACGCTCGTACTGCTTGCGGTTTGATGTCCCACATTCGTGAGACATCAAAAGTCTAGACAAAAATTTCATCACAGCTTGAAAGAGCATCACAAAATTAGTAATATTCCAAAGTTTCGTTGCGAAATGTTGTAAAATGCGGATAATATAGCCTTGCGAAATTTGCAATTTTCAGCCTTCTGTATTACAAACGGGAAATTGATGCCCAACAACACCCGATTGGGCTGTCAATTTGCCGTGCGTAATGCAAAATGACTGAAAAACGGCAAACTTCGCAAGGCTATATTATCCATATTTTACAACATTTCGCAACGAAACTTTGGAATATTACTAATATTGTGATGCTCTTTCAACCTGTGGTAAGATTTTTGTCTAGATCAAAATTTAGTCTATAATGCAAATGGTCCATTGCATCCTGCATCTCGCGTGAGAACAGGCAATGCACTTATCAGGATAAACAATAGGGCCATTTATACGAAACAAAATAAGTCGCGATTTACATAAGACGCGACTTAAATGAGCGGAGTTATCGCATAAATGGTACTCTACGGCTTTGGTCTTATTATTTGCTATAGCTATAATGTTGTTTTGGTTGTTTTTGTTTTAATAGGCAAGGCTAATAATTTTACGCTGTTTCAAGTTTCTGGCATGTGTAGTCAGACTTTTTGCCCAAAATTTCTTATTTAAGACGCGACTTAAATAAGAACAGCTAAAAGACCTGTTCTTATGTAAGACGCGTCTTATCTAAGACGCGTCTTACATAAGAATTTTGTACCTTTTATACGACAAACTCGCGTCTTACTTAAGTCGCGTCTTATGTAAGTCGCGTCTTATTTTGTTCTGTATAAATGGCCCTAATATGTTTATCTCCAAATCAGTAGCGTCCTTCACGGTCCTGGTTAAAGAGAATATAAAAGCGTACTAGTCTCTTCATCGCTTGTAATATCCGATTATATACTTGGGGCAAAATTATAACGTCGCTCAATTTCATTATCAGAAATCTGGCAAAAAACAATGCATTTAGTTGAAGTTGGGGGAGGCCTTCTCTGAAATAAATATTAAAAATGAGGACTAGATAACTCATTCTTCATTATAGAGCGTTTGCACAACCTCGTACCCAGGGCATTTTGCTTCCGGTCAGCGAAAATGGCCCTGGCATCGGCCGGTCACATGACCTCAAAATCTCCAGTATTTGGGGTGTTCAATTATGATAATTTATGCGTATAAGCTTACGTATATAGAATAATGATATACATTGTAATGACTGGCAGGAGTAAATAAACTCAACGCTGCGTATATAATCAAAGGGAAAGCAACGAAATAAGTTGATTTTATTCAGTTTTCGTTGTTTACACCTCATGCATTCAGCAACATAGCCCGTACTGATATTGATGACTATTAAAGGTGATCTACAGTCCGTATGTAAACAAAGGCTTTGTTTACATTTTTGTGTCCAAAATATTGAGCTTTATTTGACAACTATTTATATTTTCAAGCTTCTAGAGTATAATAAATGATCAAGAAACAACAATCAGGCTTTTCAAGAACTCAAAACATAGTTAAACTGTTTGTATCATAAAAAGTGAGCTCATTTGTGCACATGCGCAGATCGGACTGTAGATCACCTTTAAACATATTCAGAGCCTGTTTAGCCTGTGATTCAATTCTTAATGAACAACCAAACAAAACAAAACAAAACAAAACAAAACCGCTTCAGCGTTTGCCGTTTTGTTTATATAAATCGCCTTATGAGCAAATATATTGGTATCACAATCTTTGACTATAAGTATAACGCTGTACGTACGTTTCTTGAAATCGACGATGTATAAACAACGCATGTGAGAAATTTATGTTGAACCGAATCAAATACTCGTCTATACAAATGTACAAAAATTAAATTTTATGAATTTTCTGTGTTGGTGTTGTGTACTCAGGTGAATAATATGTTTGCGATGTTTCTCTTAGTGCATATCCACATCGGGCGAGCTTGATAAATATATGCCCGGCCACGGTGTGATTTTTCAAGCTCGCCCGGTGTGGATATGCACTCAGAGGAACATCGCAGACTTAATTTTAATTTACTCAATACTTTCGTCCTTCAAGAACTAATTATAAATTTGTCACTCCACTCTCGTTTCAACAAAATAATAATTATTTCCCCCGTATATTGAATAATTATATTCAAAATCATTGACCAATCAGGTTGCAAAACAGACCAGCCGATGCCAGGGCCTTTTTCGCTGACCATCCAACCGCGGAAGCAAAAAGCCCTGGGTACGAGGTTGGCGTTTGCACTCATTCCCCAGGGACAAACTCAACAA